CAGAGAAACCTCTCCGTTATATAAACTCGTGGTGAGTTTCATGACTTTGGTGATTTCATCCGACTCTCAAAGAAGTTTAAGTACATCTCTCCACAATACATCGACACGACTGTCAGTCCTATTAAATTTTTTCAGCAGTTCTATACGAGATTTTGTTTTAATGCACTTTTATATTGACGTTCAGCTTTATCAGCTATTGGTCCATCAATCCAACTATTTTCATTGAAAGTTGTAAGGAGATTCTTTATTCTCAACGAAGCCAAGTCGGCAACAGTTGCCACATCTGGATTGAAGCACGTCACTGCCTTAGTCAGTGGATAAAGCAACGGCGATTTATCAAATAATTTTGTTGCAAAGGACTTGTAACATTCCAGACAATCGTTTCGAAATTGTGACACCTCATTATCAGCAATTTTCTTTTCGTTCTTCTTTTTTAAAGCATTACGTGCAGCATACCCTAAATCAATTTTATCTGCAGTTTCTTAATTGTTCAAATCTATTTTATGTATCGAATTTTCTTTTAATATATTAAGTTTTACAAATTTACTAATAATTGTCAGGCAAATAGAATGCCGCGGTTTGAAGCATTCGGCCATTGCTGGCTATTTGAATACTTTTGTCACCCGTTCGTAATTTTAATCTGTTGATAAAAATTTTTATATTTTTTATAATGCACCTTAAACTAAAAATTTTTTTTTAAATATGTAATAATGCAACAACAGATTACGTTATTTTATGATTCAATTTTTGCCTCGAAAATTATTTTACTTTACTTTTTTTTCTACATCATTATTATTTAAAGAATAAACCATATAAAGTAAATATTTCTTAGAATTCAACCCATACAAAGATACTAAAGATTTTTGTACTATATTAAAAAGGCAATACTCAAAAATAAATCATAAGGTGCTAGACAAAACTAACTCACAAACATAATCATTACAGTTTTATACTTTACAAAAAAGTACCAATTTCGCAAGAAGGAAATAAATGTTTCATGGCTTTTTTTAAATTCAGAGACATTATGCTGTATGTATGAGTACTTTTCTATTTTATCCTTTTCAAATTTTATATTTATATACACACAGATAAGTATTAGCAAATTGATGAAAAATCTACATACAAATTATGAACTATGATCTAATGTATGAAAATAAAATTCTATAAATTAAAAAAATAATAAAAGCTCCCATTTCAAAATTTCCCCTTTAAACTAAAAAAGCAGATTTTTTAAATTAAATTTCAATGTACAGGAAACTATTGTGGACAATTTTTCCCTGAAAGGTTTATTTAAAAAATGAAATTCAATTAATTAAAAAAATAATACATTCTCTTATTAGTATATTTTTTAAAAAATATTATCTTTTCCTACTCAAAAAATAAATTATGAGATAAACATTTCTTAAAATTCAAGTTATATTAGGATCTTAAGTTAGAATTTTTTTCTCCACAATGATGCTAATAAACTGTAGAATTAACAAATTTAAAAATTTATGGCAAAGGAAAAACTCATCAGTTAGGCAACTATCAGTTATGGCAAAGGAAAAACTCATCATTTAGGAAACTAGCTAAACAACGTACATATATTAAATAAAACTTTTACGAGTTAAATCTATAAAAGTGCTTACTTTTTTTACACTTTTTAAAACATTTACTAAAATAGCATTTAATTATTAAAATTTGGTATTGCTGTATGTTCCATACAGCAATTAAGTTTCAAAATAAGGGACAGAGAAAAAATTTATAAATGATATAAAACTATTTGTGAACTGTAGCTAATTTTCTAGCATTTGCTTTTTTAGTTAGTAACTTATCATTCCTTAAATTTGAATAATTATTTAAAAGAATATTGGAAGTAACTTTTATACAGGCATATATAATATTACTACTTAATTTTTTACAAGAAATTCTACGCCTTCATCCTGAAGTTTTTCCTTTACCAATTCACAGTAAATACCCTTGATTCTGAAATTTTAAAGACTCTCCTTCATAGGGATCTTTGATGCATGTTTGAAATATTTTATAAACCGTAACACGCAGCATTACCATGAAATCACTAGACCATATTAAGCCTCCTCGATCGAGACCACACAAATACTGCTTGATAACATCAGGAGCTTAGATGAATAATTCTGAATGCTTGTCAATGGAGAATTTTTCTTTGTATTTATTGCAAGATTCTGAAACTACCCGTGCAATATAATATATCCCCCAATGTACAATAATACTTTTTTATTACCATTACTCTGATATCTGAGAGGATAAAACAACATTGAAAAAGAAATCAGGAAGAGGAATTTCATTCTCTTCTAGAGGTAGCAAAAAAGACTTGATATTGAATGTTCTCATTTTTGCAGACTTTTAAGTATAAACTAAGAAGTTTCAACTTTCTTTCAGAAACTAAAATTTGAGTGACAGAAACTTGATAGTTTCCACCACTCATCAGTCTGTACTGTCCGAATCTAGCTTCTAATTTAGCCGTTTGAAATTTTCCAAGCAGAATATAGTGGGACTGAATACTTTCAAGGAGGTATTTTGAGATGGAAATAAGCGTTCTTGTTGTATGTAACAGTGCAAAAAAAGGTTTCCCTTGAATGTTTACCGCTTTTTAATTTGATTTAACACAGTAACAGTTGATTAACACAATATGGGATCACAGTAAGCATATCGCTTAAATTTACCCGTTTCTGGTGTCTTGACGTTAACAATTTTGTGCTAATAGTAGAAATAAAATTAATAGTGCCCTCAACATCTTGTCCAAGTTTAGATTTTTAAACCTCTAAAGCTGCAATTAGTTTGCCGTCAAATAATTTTAACGCACGGTTGACATTCTGCCTCTCCAGATGATTAGGAAATAGAGCTTTTCTAGTTAGCCCTGGAGCTAATTTAATACAATTATCAGAATCATTGTATTATAGACTTTTTAAGAAGAAAATATTTGCATAGACATTTTCTTTCTCTTCACTTGACTCAGTGTTAGCTGGTATATAAAAAAAATTTGATTGGTATCATGCTGATTAAGCCAGTTGTACCGGATGCATTTCTAAATATGAACTGTATCGAAATATAAAAAGAGCTTCTGTCCAGGATCAGGTATTGATGGTTGCAGTGTGTCACCACACAACTTTTCGAATGCTTTCCGATTTACACGGTTGTGATCACCAATAGCAGCTAAAACTTCAAATCCAGCCCCTTTAATACTTTTAAAACATGCAAAAGTATGGGTCATTGGAAGTAAGCCTACAATATCTTTATTTTTTGAAAATATAGAGCTTAATAAAAAGCTCTGTAAAGTAGAAACTTTAGCGTTTTCACTATTTATGGATAAGCCTATATGTTATTTGTTGATTGACATAAATTTCATCCATCAGTAAGCATACTGTTTTCTCATGCTCCGATAATTCCATACATTTCTTCTCCAAGTACTTAGCGTGGGTACTTTTAACACCAGCTTCCAAATTCCCTATATTCTGTAGTAGTGTCTTCAAATAGTAGGGATGCGGCAGAGTTAGTTTACCTGACTTTCGTAGAAGACGATGGGCAGCAGGATAATTAAAGTAATGTCTCTGGCTCTCTTTATGTTGATGATCTACATATTTCGTGTTCATCGAGCGGCAACTTCAGTTACCAGTAAACTAAATTTTAGACTTGCAGACAGACCCTTCATAATGATCCTGTCATTTTCGTTAATAACATTGCTATACCAGTTATGTCACATACAAAGTTTTTAAGAGTCACTTTTGATAGCAAATTTTATACCTCATATCAAACAATTACGAAAGAGATGCGAGCAGAAACTGAATATGTTGCGTGTTCTGTCTAATACGTTCTGGGGAGCGGATCGCCAAGCGCTTCTGCGCATTTATCAAGCCCTGATACTATCACGGCTTGATTATGCATGCATAATTTATGGCATGTATAGCCGCTTCTAACCTACGAGCATTAGACACAGTGCACTATACTGCTTTACGTATATGTTCCGGAGCATTTTGTGCTTCCCCTGTTGAAAGTCTATACGTTGTTTGCCATCCGATACCATTACATCTACGTCGCATGCAAGCTGTCTCTTTACTTATTATTTTCGTATCATGTTCTCTAAGACACATCATTTAAAGAATGATGTTATTTCATAAAGCCTGGAGCGACTATATGCTGCTAGACCGTCTAACATTGACTCATTTCATGCACACACCCACTCACTCATTCTAACATTCGATATCTGTGAATTGCCATCACAATCAGCGGATCACTTTCTCATTCCTCCATGGACCATTTCACCACATTACTCTATTTCCCGTTTCAAGTTCTACAATAAAGCCAACGTTACATCCAGCATTTTTCATATACTCTTCACTGCACGTCGTCACCAATTTGCTCAATATGTACAGATTTTTCCATCCAATTTTATGTATCATTATTCATTTGTTAAGGGGACACAGGACCTTGTGTGCAAAATTTTATTTTTTTTGCACTTATTTGAATTTTTTAGCTTAATTTATATGTTTTTAGCAAAATTATTAATTTTAGGCTGTTTAAAACATTTTTATTTATTTTTTTTTCTTCAAAAATTTAGCAAAATCTTTAGAAAAAATTGAAAACTAAAAAATTGTCCCTCGCGCCTCAAAATTCAACCAAATTACTTATAAACTGAGCTATTAATATGTAATGCTAATATAAAAGTACTCAATCATTGGTTAGTGTGTAACTTTAATAGATTTTTTTAAAAATTTTAATACATTTGTGTAATTATTTCTTCGTAAAATTTTTTCAAATTAATATATTTGAAAGCTATTGCTTAACCCTTTATGTCCCAAATTATGATGTTTTTCAAAAACTTGTGCAATACATTTTTTTACTGCTCAATTTAGCTGTAGAAAGACACACAAAAATTGAGATTCATTTACAATAATTATTTTTATTGTAATAACACAGAATATTACACGGGACTTTAAAGTCCCGTCGGGATATATGGCCATTACATCCATTAGTATGAAGAAGAAAAAAATATTAAATATAAATGAAAAGTAATATATTTTTACACAATTAATTATGGTATTGATAAAAGCAGTTCTTTTTTTCATTAACACAAAGAAATACTTTGCATAATGTGCACTGAGAATGCGGTCGTGACTCAATTCTTTTCGAAGCACAAAATTCACACCGTCCTCTATTTTTTACAAATACTGGCCAATGTGCACCTTTGTTTTGTTGTCTTATGTCATCAGAAACGGAAAAATTTGCTATCTTGCGTTTTTTGGGGGGTGGTAATTCACTTATATCTCCAGCATCTGATCTAGGTCTTCCCCTTTTCTTCGAAGACACTTTTGACATTGTTATTAGACCTTGTGTTACCCTTCGTTTGTATTCTAGAAGAAGTATTTTATCCCGTATGTCAGAGTAGCAAATATACGAGTTTACCATTACAATTTCTATAATACCGAAAAAGAGACGATGCCACAACTTTTTGGCCTTTCTATCTCTATCATATAGTGATTTTAGCATGTCACTTTTATCCACGCCCCCCATGTGTCTGTTATAATCTCTTACTATTGTAGGAGCTGGTATATCCATAATTGAACCATCTTTTTGTTTTCTTTGAATTTTACAAATTTCAGTTCCATGGTAATTGGACAAGAAAAAAACACAGCGGTTGTCTTTCCATTTAAAGTATGAAAGTCCTTGGTCTGTTATTCGACAGTCAAAATCACCCCCTTTCAAAGCTTTGTCTTCTACTGCAAGAGACGGTAAACCTTTGCGATTACTTCGTACAGTTCCACATGCATATATACCAAGAGATTTTAGATATTCATACAATTCCACAGAGGAAAAAAAGTTATCCATCATTATGATGTGATTTTTATTGACAAGAGATTTGGTTAATTTCTGCACTACACTCCCTCCTATACCAAATCTTTTGAATTCTGAATCATCTTTTCCCTGATATACTTCAAATTCATACATGTAACCTGACATATCTGAACGACACCATAGTTTGTATCCTCTTTTTATTGGTTTTTTAGGATTGTACTGTTTGAGTGTCGAGCGGCCTTTGAATAATATCATGCTTTCGTCTATACTTTGTGTTTGATGAGGCATTCTCAGTGAATGAAAATTTTTGTTTAGTTTATCCATAAATGGTCTAATTTTATACAGTCTATCAGTATTTTGCTTTGGTATTACTTTATTGTCATTTACATGCAAGTTTCCTAATATCTGGAAATACCTATTTCGTGANATTTTGCTACCGTCTGAAAAGAAGATTTCTGAAACTACGGAAATTCCGTAGCAGTTGGAGGGTATGCATAAAACTCCTCTTTAGAAATAGGCTTTATATTCCTTTGTTTTTGATTTGAATAGAGGTTTGTTTGAAATACAATATTACTTATAATTTCGTCGTCTAAAAATGTTTAAAAAAAATCGGTAGGCAATGTTTTACCTTCGAAAGCTGATACACATGTTCCATGAGATAAGCTAAATATAGGGATAGTTGATGTACAATCTATTTTCTTCCAAATTCTTTTTGGTGTAATTTCTTCACTTTCAGTGTATTCACTTGAATCGCTTTCAGAGTCTGAAATTTTATGAATGTTTGCCGGATTCAAACTTTGATTGTTTGTTTTATTTTGTTCTCGGGAATCTTCGTCAGAACTGCTGTCCTCTTCTGGTGTTTCAACATCAGATGGTAATTCATCCCAGATAATTTTAATTTCTTCTGGCGTCAAGCCTTTTCTTCGTTTATACAATATTCTAAAAAAATAGAAATCGAAAGAATTTTGTAAAAGGGAGGGAAACTCTAAAAATTTGTAAATACTCAATGACAAAACAAAAAACCATTAAGAAATGCAATACTTCAGGATAATTGAATATATTCAAGTGTTTAAAAACAAATTATAATAACATGCAATAACAAAAATCCATTTCAAAAAAGAAATTATTCAATTTTTACCAGGACTTTTATGACCCAACGAGACTTCAAAGTCCCAAAAGAACAATAATACGTCATGTT